TTATTTCAACCCTGAGTTATATTCTCCTTTATTGAGAATATTGAATTAACATCACCTTATCATATGGGAGTAGAAATTAAGTTCTTTTCTCTCTTTAGGCTATGCGGACAAAAATATTTGTCTGAAGCTATTTGCATCTAAGAGAAATCCATCCATTTCCTATGGATGCCTAGAAATTAATCACGGGAAGGAAAATATAAAAAGTTTCTTTGAATCAATGTTTGAACTCATACTTTTTATTAAAAAGCAACACTGAATCCACAGATAACTGCTCTCTTTGGCACTTAATCGCTTTGAGGTTAAGTCAAACCTCCCAATATACTCTCAGTAGATTTCTCCCCATTATTTTTATTGCAATTATAGTCATTCAGTCATAAGCAAAGAATAGCTTGGCTAATACAAAACACTAATTCTTGGGATAATACTAAAAAAGGTACATATTTAATACTAATCTAGTCTGTTAATTCTTAAAAAAAAAGCTATTGTGTACTTAAACATTAACTGTAAACTAAGATATGCAACATGAACCTTTCAACAGAAGAATGTAGTTTGGGATTGAATCCTTGGTGCTCCAAAAGAGTTTAGCTGCTTGCTTGCAGATGTTTCATTTTCCAAATAGATAATATCAGTGCGAGTCAGAGATTTGCTACCTGTTTATGCATCGTATAATATATACTTTATATACAGCAACTTGGCCTGTCAGCATTAGCGAGTGCATGCTTTCCTTTGTGGGTGTGTGGTTTGCTTCTTGATGGTTCCTTGATTAGAGGATTGTTTTTTGCCTCATCATCTGGTATTGATCCCTGTTTATCTGAATATTGGCTGCTGGAGGAGATGCAACCTAGTTTCTTGTTTCCATCCTAGATTTTATTATTGTCTCTTTTGAATGGTGCATAAATGTGGTCTATATGCCTAATAATGGCTCAGTTTGTCTGAATTCTAGGAAATCCCTAGATGCTAACGATTTTCTCAATTGAAATGGAATTGAATCTGCCCATTTAGAAGTGCCAAACAAAATTTCTTTCAGAACACAAATAAACCTTATATATGGTTGGCATACAAACTGAAAAAGGAGAAATGAAAAAGATAATACAACTGATGGATGATTAAGGTGTGAGTTGTAGTGGAAATGAAGAAAAGAAAGAGATTGTACAGAAGTACTATGAGACATTATATAAGCAAGAGAATATTGAAGAAGAAAAAGTTAAAAAATATCTACAAATTGCAAAGTTACCTCAAATACCTGAAGATATTAAGATAATGTTAGAAGGGAAAATAACAATGATGAAACTGACAGAAGCGTTAAACAGACAAAATATTGGGAAGGCTCTGGGCCCGGATGGTTTCCCAGCAGAATTTTATAAGGCTCTACAGAAACCATTGAGTAATATAATGCTTGAAATGATGAATGAGGTTTTGTTGAAAGCTAAAATACCCAACTCATGGACAGAAGCTTATATTACTTTAATACCAAAAGAGGACACTGATTTACAACAGATTAAAAATTATAGGCCCATCTCCCTGTTGAATACGGATTATAAAATCTTTGCTTCAATAATGGCAGAAAGACTTAAACAATACTTGAATTATTTTATACATGCTGATCAAAATGGATTCCTGCCTAAGAGACAGATCAAAGATAATATAAGAATAATCTTGGACACTTTGGAATATTATGAAATGCACTCAGAGAAGCAAATGGCCTTAGTATTTTTAGATGCACAAAAAGCCTTTGATAATGTAAATTGGCAGTTCAGGATACTACAAATGGAACAGATGGGCTTTTGAGAAAGATTTATGAAAGCAATTGAGGCAATATATCAAAAGCAATCTGCTAAAGTGATGATTAATGGAGATTTGACAAAAAATATCAATATTGAAAAAGGAACCAGACAAAGATATCCCTTGTCGCCATTATTGTTTGTGTTGACTTTGGAGGTGCTAAATAGAAATATTAGAGATAATAGGGAAATAAAGGGAATGAAAATAAAAAAGGAGGAATATAAGCTACAAGTGTTTGCGGACGATTTGGTTTTTATTTTGGAGGAACCATTGAAATCAGCACCAAAATTGTTTGAAAAGATTGAAGAATATGGACAGGTGGCAGAATTGAAAATAAATAAGGATAAAGACAAGATATTAGCTAAGAATATGACTGGAAAACAAAAGAGTGTTTTGACAGAAGGACTGAATATTCAAATTACAAACAAAGTAAAATATTTAGGAATATATTTAACAGTAAGATGTGGAACTTTGAAAGAAGACAATTATGTTAAACTTAACAGTTAACAATTATCCTTAATAGGGAGAATATCTACAATCAAAATGAATATATTACCAAGGATCATATATTTGTTTCAGACCATTCCAATTAAGCTAGGGAAAGAATTCTTTATGGATTTAAATAAAATAATATTGTAATATATATGGCAAAGGAAGAAGGTAAGAATTAAACTTAAGTTGTTACAAGATGCTAGAATAAGAGGAGGATTTGGCTTAACTAACTGGGAATTATATTATCAGGTGGCAGCATTGATATGGGTTAAAGAATGGGTTTTGTTAAGGAATGTTAGATTATTAACACTAGGTCATGATCTATTACTGGGATGGCATGCTTTTTTATGGTATAAAGAAAGTAAAACTCATGGGTGCTTTAAGAGACATTATATACAAGATGCTTTATTGCTGATATGGGAGAAAACAAGAAAACAACATTACATGAAAATACCAGTCTGGTTGTCAACTAGCATTTGCATATCCAGTTGTTTATAAAATGGAACATGCGGTTAGATATGGTGAAATTTTAAATGAAAAGGGTGAATGCAAATCTAAACTAGAATTAGAGGAGCAAGAAATCAAGATGAATTGGTGTAATTATGTGCAAATACATTCTAGGTATGATAAAGATTACAAAACAGAAGGATTTTATAATAAACCTACAGAACTGGATGAAATTTTAACAGGTACTGATGAGAAAATGATTTAAAAAATTATGGTTATTTACTTGGAATTAAATTGGAGGAAGAACAAGTTAAGGAAACAATGATAGCCTGGGGGAGAAATTTTGGATATGGAATAGATTTAGATAAATGGCAAAAATTATGGTCTTGAAATTATAAATTAACAATGTCGATAGCATATAAAGAGAACTTGTATAAGATGTTTTACAGGTGGCATTTACCCCCAGCATGAATAGCCTCTTCCCTGAAGCTTAACACTGGCTCTCCTCAGGGTTGTGTGCTCAGTCCCTACCTGTATTCATTGTACACGCGATTGTGTATCTTCTGACCCAGCCAATGTGATTATCAAGTTTGCAGATGATACCACCAAATTGGGTTTTATTACAGGTGGGGACGAATCAGCATATGGGGAGAGGTTCAAAAGCTATCCACGTGGTGCTCAGAAAACATCTAGCACCTAAACATCATCAAGGCAAAGGAGATGGTGCTAGACTTCCGGGAAGAAGAGAGAGGAACTTGCCCCACTTTACAATGATTGGGGGCTGTGTGGAGTGGGTCTCCTCTTTCAAATTCCTGGGAGTCCATCTTAGCAAAGATCTCACCTGGAAAAATAATATGATCCAGGTGGCCAGGAAGGTCCAATAGAGACTCCATTTCCTCAGGGTCTTGTGGAAAAACAATGTGGAACAACAACTGATGACCTCCTTTTACCGGTCGACGATAGAAAGCATCCTCACTTATTGCATTACGGTATGGTATGCTGGCTTGACAGCTGCAGGTAGAAAGACATTACAGAGGGTGATAAGCACAGCACAAAACATCATAAGTTGTCCCCTGACATCACTGGATGAAATTGCCAGGACTCGCTGCCTTAGCAGTGAGGAAAATCCTCAGGGATGATTCACACCCTGGTCAACACTTCTTTACTCTCCTACCATCGGGCAGGAGATATAGAAGTATAGCCAATCGTACAAACAGGCTGAAGAACAGCTTTTATCCGTGGGCTGTCAGACTCCTGAATGCAACATATCATAACTATGTAGTATAATTAGATTCGCAGGGCCAGCTCAATGTGCAATATGCTCACATTGGTGCAATTTGTTATGCACACATATAGGTAGAGAATTGTGTGTTTGTTAGTATGATTTACTGGGTTAGGGATTTTCTTTCTTTCACTGTGAGCTATTGAGATGTGTTTATGTGGGGGCGGGGTGCACTAAGGGAGGCTCAGCCAATCTATTGTACATGTTGTGCATTGACAACAAAGGCTTGAAATTGAAATTGGAACACCTTCATTTTGGTGAACCTGCATGAGTCCAGAATTTTAGAAATTCTATACCATTTCAGATGATTGTCAGCCTTTTTGGAAGCCTCCTGATGGAGCAACAACTTCTGAAAGCAAGTTGTTCCATTGATTGTTCCCACAACAGGGAAATTTCTCCATAGATCTAGGTTGCTTCTCTCATTGGTTAGTTTCCATTCATTGTTTCTCATCTTGTCTTTTGGTATGGGGTTTTTTTGGGGGGGGGGGGGGCTTTTGTTGCTTTCTCCACTAGTGTCATCAATATGCCAATGACGCCCAACACGTGTTCAAAGAGCTTCATTCTAGAAGAGGGCTCATTTGTTTGGCACTAAGGACCATTGCTGTACTTTTCTTGACGGAGCAAGAACAATCCATAAAACAAACCGTGCAATCTCCATTTCCTACGAAGGAAGTCGTCCTCATTATATTTAGCATTAATTTAAGCTAAGCTTACTCAGAAAGTAGGATTGCAACTTAATAATTTTTTTAAGTTGCTTTTAAACAAAAGGCACGTTCCTTTATATTACAACAGAGGAAGCAATCATCCGCAAAACTGCGAACCCCACTATCTCTACACCAACAGGCAGCACAGCAACACAAATAAGACGGCCTGCCGCGCATGCGCCTCCCCGGGTATCACGAAGCGGCCCATAATTTTGCACTTCCGGTTTTGACTTCCTGTCGGTCCTGTTCCGACGAAGGCGCGGTGTGTGACGTCAGCACCTTTCACCGGATGCGGAAGAGCCGTTTGGGTCGATTTCGCCCGGCTGCGAGGACCGAGTGACGGAAGTTACTCGGGGTTGTTGGTTTTTTTGTTTTTTTTTTTAAAAGAGATAATTTTGTCTCCGCAGAACGACGGAAGGGCGAGGAGGGGAGCGGGCGACCGGAGTTTCTTAAGGCGGGGGGGGGAGGCCGCGCGCCATTAGGCTTCCCTTTCAGTTTCTTTTGTCCTTTTCCGCTCCCTCGCCCGCCCATCATGGCGGCCACCTCCAACCTGCAGGTGAGCGTTTCCTGGCCGGGACCTCGGGGAGTGGGGGGGGGAGGGTGGTCGCGTGGGAAAGGCGCCGCCCACATTCCAAGAGGGAGGGGGAGGAAGAAGCGTGACGTTCGGAGGGACCGGGTATGGGGGGGGGCGCCTTCAAGCCGCTCGGGGGGGGGGGGAAGACTGAGTTGGGCTGAGTTCCACCTGGGCCCTCCGTTGTGGCTTTTACTGTGGTCCTGCTATCCGTCCCCCCGTCCCCCGACTAACCCGGTAATAGGAACCAAGTTTCCCGACCCTCAGGAGAAAAGCCCCCCCCTTTTTTTTTTTTGCCTTCATCGGGCCTTCACAGTTGAGTAACTAACTGATTGGCCCGTGTGAGGAACGGGACGTTGTAACCCCGGAACCTTTTCGCTCTGATCCAGCGCTCTCTAGTCCTGGACTTGTAAGCCAGGAAGTTTAAAGGAGGAGGAAGAGAGGGGGAGGAGGAGAATTGAGCCAAAGGCGTGGCTTGGAGAAAAGTGTTTCCTGGAAGAAGTAACATTACCAAAATTATTCTGGTAATGTTCTGGTCCTGGGTTATTAGGTTCAAGAAATTAGGGTTGAAGTTCAAATGCCTTGTGGCAATGGCAGGGTGGTGTTATTATCCTGTTTGTTTCTGTTCTGCCAAACAGCTCAAGAAGCCTCCCTAGGTCAGAGTCGGCGTGAGGGACTCAAAATTTGGAGTTTGTTCTCCTTGCCGGTAGTCAGATAACAGATAATCAGAGTTGGAAGGGACCATGTAGGTCATCTAGTCCAACCCCCTGCCCAAGCAGGAAACCCTACACCATTTCTGACAAATGGCAATCCAATCTCTTCTTGAAAGTCTCAAGTGATGGCGCTCCCACAACTTCCGAGGGCAAGCTGTTCCATTGCTTGATGGTTCTCACTGTCAGAAAGTTTCTCCTTATTTCCAGGTTAAATCTCTCCTTGTTCCGTTTCCATCCATTATTCCTTGTCTGGCCTTCGGGTGCTTTAGAAAATAGCTTGGCCCCCTCCTCTCTATGGCAGCCCCTCAGCTGCCACAGAGAATAGAATAGAATAGAATAGAATAGAATAGAATAGAATAGAATAG